CTCTCTCTCTCTCTCTCTCTCTCTCTCTCTCTCTCTCTCTCTCTCTCTCTCTCTCTCTCTCTCTCTCTCTCTCTCTCTCTCTCTCTCTCATTGTTAGTGTATATCTTTATATTCCTTTTCATGGCACCATCGTCATTGGTCAGTGCACGAAAAATGTTTCTGCAGCTTTCTGTCCACGGACATGACAGTGATGGCAAATGCAGTGACTTCTGATAAGATAAAGATCAAGACAAAAAAAAAAAAAAAGCTAACCATAAATGAAAGCTCTACATTTGCAATGCATCATTTCCTCTGGCGCAGATTTCTTTTTTTACTGTTGTTGTTTCGATGTTCTCAAGTGCTTATGTCATCACCACGTCTATCAAATCCATCTTGATCTTCTTAATGTCTTCATAACATTCTTTTTTTTTTTTTTTTTTTTTTTTTCTTTTTTTTTTTTCTTTTTTTTTTTTGGGTCCTCGTTTGGCTTGAACGGCCGAACGCATCCCAAAGGGGTCCCGAACGTTCGGTCATTCGCCCCGTCCGCCGGCCACCCTGATGACAAGGACATTCTTGGTTTTTGTACTCTCACTCTGTCGTGGGTTGTGTATATGCCATCTTTTCTATAACCACTTATGAAATACACGTGGGTTGGCCCCGCGTAAGCTTTCAGACCGCGTGCTTGGATATGTGCACCGGATGCATGACATCTCGTAATCGAAAAATTATCCAGTGCACACATTCAGGAGGCTGCGGTGGATATATACAGTGGACATATGATGCCATGGACTTCATCATCACAGCGGATCTTCAACATCATCATTCACATCATCACAGTCATCATCGACATCGTCATTCCCATCCTCATTATCATCATCATCGTCATCAACCTCGTCATAATCGACACTGATATTATTAGCCGCTTCATTAGCATCATCATCATCATCATCATCATCATCATCATCATCATCATCATCATCATCATCATCATCATCGCCATGTGGGGAAACACACTGTTGATAGCACTATCATCATTATTTTTGTTAATATTTATTGCAATCGTCATCATCAACATCAGCACGATCACCACCATAACGRTCATCATCATCAATCCGATACGTCGATCACACCTTTCCAACYACTAAAATCGTTATCTTCATCRTCACCGCTACCACCCTGTTCATGATCATACCACGTCACCATAACACCGCTGGTCTCATATAAGCRCAGGAACATYTCAATATCTGTTTTTCCCACAACGCTGGGTTGGTCCCGTGTTAGGGTTTAGACCGCCTGTTTGGATATGTGCAACAGACTTGCCGCTGCGTTTCAAAATTTTCAGCTTCACATAGTTCTCTCTTTCGTGTTTTCAGTTTTTTGCTTTTTTTTAAAAAACACCGCCTGCAGTGCTAGTGGTGCTGGTAAGAGGACCCACCGCTAGCACTGGGGGGGGGGGGGGGGGGGGGGTCCATCTATTGGTGGGGAGTGTCACCTGCTGGAAAGCGGGTCCAACGTCCCTGATACAAGATGAAAATATCAAAAGGAGTTCGGGAAGGGTGCCTGCCAGCATTGATTACCCTAGATTCCAGGGAATTGACCGAGCAGGACTCTGTGAAAGGCTCTTGAGAAAAGGTCTGCCTGTCTACCCTACCTGTAACAGCTGTCTCACTTGCTACAAACTGCAGACTGATATCACATCTCATATTCGAAAAACCTTCAGCGCACTCATTCGGGAGGTTGCGATGGATAGAGACAATGGACATATGATGTCACGGACTGCATATGCCGGCAGCAGCATCTTCATCATCACAGCGGATCATCATCATCATCATCATCATCATCATCATCATCATCACAATCATCATCACAATCATCATCACAATCATCATCATCACAATCATCATCATCATCATCGGCAACATCATCATCATCATCTTTATGATCATCATCAGTACCACTATCGAGTGGCCACCATCTTCAATGTCGTCCAACCTCATCTTTATGATCATCATCAGTACCACTATC